ACAAAAAAGGTTTAAAACATTTGATTGATGGTTGGAATTATTTGCAAGGTTCTCTTCAGTAACTATAACAGAGGAAAGTTGACTGGTTTCCCAGTCTGTGGAAAAGTATTGAACCCAATGGAACTAAATATTTTAATTGTCTTACTTTTCCTAGATACGCTCAGGACGGGTTTGGGCATTTTGGACTCTTTCTTAGGTAATAAAGAAAACTCTAGTAATATTCCCTAAAAAGAGGAATCCCTTGACAGTTCAAAGCTAAGACTTAGATGTTTACCACAAACTCGAATTAACTAATCCCTTTGCCTTTGCAACCTGATGATGTAAACCTTTGATATTTCAAACTTGGAATTTGAGTTTTAATAGAATTCATATGATGAAATATCAAAGGCCTAAGTACATCGGGAGTAAAAAATCAGAGTTTGTGGCAAAAACTCATTTCCTTTATCCCTATCTAATATTATGTATGACAATTTTAAAAGATGGTCGGCCTTTTACCAAAAATATTTTTTTTCAAATAAAACTGAAAGATACAATCTGGTAGTTTTGAAAGCACAGCTGTCAGGACTGTCTTGCTTTGTATTGTAATCATTGTTTTATGACTTATACTTGTAAAAATGAATTTGACAAATTACTGCTGCAAATAATTTATTTTGAAGATCAAAGAAAATCTTCAAACTATCAGTGTACAATCGTAATACCAGTGTACTTTTTCTGATAGTAGTGTACTTTTTGTAATTACAAAGTTCCTGTTGTAATTGCTTTAGTAAGAACAGTGTTCTTTTTGTAATAACTTTTTTTTAAATACAGTGTACTTTTTGTAAATACAATGTAATTTTTGTAAATACAGTGTACTTTTTGTTATATTAGTGTGCTTTTTGTAATAACAGTGTATTTTTTGTAGTAACAGTGCACTTTTTGTAATTACAGTGTACTTGTTGTAATTACTTTTTGCAAGAACAGTGTACTTTTTGTTATAACAGTTTACTTTTTGTAATATCAGTGGGCTTTTTGTATTTACAGTGTACTTTTAGTAATAACTTTGCACTTTTTGAGAGAAAAGTATTCAATTTTATATAATAACTTTATACTTTTTGTAGAAAGTGTACTGTTATGATCAGGATCATAATTTCTAACGGTTTATTCTACAAAATCAATTGTTTTGAACCTACTGGAGATGAGATAAATGACGGAGAGAATGCACATGAGATGTTCAGTATTGATGGAGATCTTTTTATTTCTCAACTCTGGACAATCAAAGAATCAAGAAAAACATTTAATTTAGTCTATACTACTATATGTAATGTATGTATTGAATATGTTTCCCTCCACCCTCTTCTCTCTCTATAATCTCTGAATTTTAAATTGAGTTCATTCTAACGATTTCCATTTTCCCAGGCCCTATATTTTTTTATCATTATTATGCAATTTGCATATTCTAGAACGTTCTTCCTCTTAAAAGCCATGAAATATGTCCTAGTTTTTAATCATCATTATGCAATACCAGGCCGAATAAAAAGGCCACTTTTTCACAGTAAATTCAGTCTAGGATCTACAGACAGAACTACTATTCCAACCAGGTTTCCCTATATATTTATATTCCCCTAAAAAAACCCTCTCTAATATCTTCTTGTTTTCAACTTAATATTTTTATGCATCTTTTATACTTATAAAATTTTCCTAAAATACTGGGCTTGTTCTGAACATATACAATTTTATGCATCTTTTATACTTGTTAAATTTTCCTAAAATACTGGCCTCGTTTTGAACTTAAATATTTAATGCATCTTTCATACTTGTTCGAATTTTATCAAATTTTTTAGTTGTAAATATTATATGTCAATAAATCAAACTTTAAATTCCTGTTATTAAATTCTGCGAGCACACTGTTAAATATTAGAAGTCTTATAAGTTTCACCAAAAGGTTCAATTGATACTTAGACTGAAATCTATCAATTTTTAAGTTGTTTGTTTTGATTCTAAATATTTGGACAAATTACAACATTACTATTTGTAATACAATGCAGTCTTTGAAATAGCAGTTTAAAAACAGTGTACTTTTCGTAATAACTTTGCACTTTCTGTAAATACATTGAACTTTTTGTAATTACAGTACACTTTTTGTGATAACAGTTTATTTTATCAGTGTACTTTTTGTAAGAACAGTTTTCAATTTTATATCATAACTTTGTACTTTTTGTAAAAACAGTGTACTTTTTGTAAAACAAAGCACTTATTGAAATAGCAGTTTAAAAACTTTGTACTTTTTGTAATACAATGCACTTTTTGAAATAACAGTTTATTTTATCAGTGCACTTCATGTAATAACAAGGTACTTTTTGTAATATCTGTTTGCTTTTTGTATTTTTAGTGACCTTTTTGTAATTACAGTATATTCTTTGTAGTTTCAGTATAAAATTGCTAACAACAGTTTACTTTTGTAGTTACAGTAAACAATTTTTGTAATTACTATGTATTTTTTGTAATTACAGTGTACTTTTTGTAATTACAGTTTACTTTTTGTAATTAGAATTTACTTTTGTAATTACAGTTTAATTTTGTTACTACAGTGTACTTTATGAAATAAAAGTGTAATTTTTGTAGCTACGGTTTACTTTTTGTAATTACATTGTACTTTTTGTAATTACAATGTTATTTTTGAAAGGAGGAGGAAAAGTAAGTACTGTACTTCCTGATGCTGGCGCAGGTATCTTTACCTTATAAAACAAATAATAAACAAAAAATAGAGAGGGAAATCAGTTATTTTGGCAATTCCTCCATGAAATATAGAGCTATAGAAAATGTTAATATTGAAATTTATAAAGGGGAACCTATTGTAAAAGAGTTGAATTAGCACTCTAACTCTAACGTTTTACATCGTAAAATTCATCATTTCTGCCCCATATTGTTGAAATTGAAAATACATCAAGGTTTAAAATTTTCAATTTACTTTAATTGTAAATGACATTATACTTTGTAAAAGAGCTGGTTTTAGTTTTTACATTAGCAGGATTCAATGTAAATTGTTGCATACCAAAAAAAAGTTTTTTATAAAGCAATGTACTTTTTTTTAAAGGGCAAGCCTCTGCAGTAAGTACGCAACTCCCAGATTCTAACCCAGGTACCTTGATCATCATATAGGGAAAGGAAAAGGAACAGAGAGCGCATCATTTTACAGTAAAGTGAAGGAACAGAAGAAATGAAAAGGAAATCCACAACCTCAAGTACAATTTTTGAAAAAGCTTGAATTTGGTCAGTTTTGATGACAACATTACCACTGTTTTGGGCTTTAGTTATATGAATCATTGCTTTTTAATAAGCAATTATTACGTTCTATTTTTGTGAAAAATGTATGTATGGAAAAACCCGTATCTCTATGTACAAATTACCATGTGACAGATTTGAATTATCTAAGGTTTTTTACTTATGACCTTTTAACTTTCCCGGCCTTCCTGTATAAATCTGGCCTTGAAAAATCTACTTCTCTTCTCTCAAAAAATCATTTTTTAATTTCAAGGAAAAAATTTATCTTCATAATTGATTTATTTTTTATTAGTATGCTTGGCCACCGAGTGCTTTGAAAATAATAAGAGCTATTTTGGAAATGATATAGAAGGTGCGTAACTTAAAGATTTATTAGAAGCAAAAACACACAATTAAAGAGTCTGTAAGCTTATTTCAAGTTAACTTCTATTGATAGAGATGACAATGCCCAATTCACAACAGAACCCTTAAAAGTTTNTTTATTTTTCAAGAGGGTCATCGGATAGGCTTATGCCCCCCCCCCATTCCCCCTCCGTATTTGATCAGGATGAGATGAAATGAACCATATAAATAAGAGTTTATAGAAACTAGGCTTTTAACTGGTGAATTAAAAAATAATAAATTTCGACTTTTTTTACCGCATAATTTTTTAACTTGTTTTAAACTTTCACTTGGGCCATGTGAGTTGCCTCACAAATGTTGGGCTCGGTCGGTTCAGCTGTTTGGACATTTATTGAATACAAACGAACAAGCAAACAGACGAGCAAAGTATATAAATAGAGTGAGAACCAGAAAACTCTGGAATAGGAGGACGACTTTTATCCTTAAATTATGACTCTAAATAGTTCAATGAACATGAGACACGTAGTATATACTATACTGTTTACAGACCAATTTAAAAGTGATTTTATAAGTTACTATTTAACCTTTTTGCTTTGTAACAACATCAATTAGACTCAAGGATTGCTATACATGTTGACTTCCTTTCCATGCAGTTTTCTGTAGATGAAATTATTTTGAGACATGGCAGTAAGGATTTATATTTTTCATGATAATTCACAGTAGTAATTACTTTAAATACAGCTACACCAGGTGCACATTCTATTATTCTGTAGATAGTATTACTTACTGGTTTTATCTTCTACATGTAATAAATCTAGGTCCCGAGATTACACTACTCAAAGTCTAATTACAGTCTAAGTGACTCTATCTCTAGCCAAAACTCAAGGCTCTCAATCTCTAGATAAAACTCAAGGCTCTGTGACGTCCGTATAACACAACGTTTCATTTAGAACTAATTTATTTATATACAGGTCAAATTAAACTGACCGGATTAGCCGGACAGGGTCAACATAAAATAGATAAGATATATTAATAGCATGGATAATATAGATCGTACTAATCATTACAACAGAATATACTACATACATAAGATGTCTTCAACGTTTTCCAGAAAATTTCGGAACAATTGTTCCATAAACTGGAATTTTCCGGAACACTATTTTGTAACGTTCTGTACGGAAAAAAATCGTTCCGGAAATTGTTCCCGAATTCTGGATTTCCAAAACCTTTTTCATAGTGGAAATGGAAAAAATTTCCGGATCATTTCCATATGTAAACTGTAACCCAGAATTCGGTGGAAACCCTAGGAGAACTACATTCTTCAATTCTACGTCTGGTTCAACTACTCTAGATACTCGAGCTGGTCCTTTAGAGAGGGCCACTGGAGATAAAGGACAATGAGGTTCTACTCCAGTCCAGCTAGTTCAACTACTCTTGTACAGACCCGTCTGGACAACCTGCAAGAGGGCACAAGAAGACTAGGATATCATAGACATATCTAATACTCTAGGAGCAGCTGTTGATATTGTGAGCATATCTCATACTCTAGGAGCAGCTGTGGATATTGTGGACATATCTGATACTCTAGGAGCAGCTGTGGATATCGTGGACATATCTCATACTATAGGAACAGTTGTGGATAGTATGGACACATCTCAGATAGTAGGAGCATCTTAGATGGTAGGAGCATCTCAGATGGTAGGAGCATCCAGGATAACAGTATAGAAGATACTGAACTGAAACAGCTGAACAAGATATTGAGTTGAGGGAGCTGCCTAGTAGATACTGAACGGGAGCAACTGAACAAGATATCAAGTTGAGGGAGCTGCCTTGTTAGATATGAACAGGAGCAACTGAACAAGATATCAAGTTGAGGGAGCTGCCTTGTTAGATATGAACAGGAGCAACTGAACAAGATATCAAGTTGAGGGAGCTGCCTTGTTAGATATGAACAGGAGCAACTGAACAAGATATCAAGTTGAGGGAGCTGCCTTGTTATATATGAACAGGAGCAACTGAACAAGATATCAAGTTGAGGGAGCTGCCTAGTAGATACTGAATGGGAGCAACTGAACAAGATATTAAGTTTAGGGAGCTGCCTTGTTAGATATGAACAGGAGTTGACGGAGCTGCTTAATTACACAAGAGAATTATGAATATCTAAACAGGATGTAATGAGACAAGAATAAACTTTAACAGATGTAATTGTACCAATAAAGTATAAACTGTTAAATCCCATTCATTTATATATCTGAGAGATAGACATTAAACATGAAGAAATAGAGTTGGGTGAGTTGGGTAGTTTATGAAACTGGTACTGGGATCAAAAGTGAAGCATTTGCATTAGACCCTTAAAAGAGGAGAGGGCAAATGGTTGACCTTGATATCCCTAGGACTTATTTCTGGAATTTGTAATGATATAAACATGTTTAAACATAACAATTCTCAAAAACTGTATAAAATAATAGTACATTATCAATATGTTTTAAATTCATTATATTATCTTATCTATGATCACTTCTGGCCAGGTAGCTGTCATCTCCGTCTGCCTCACATCTCCTTACCTGTACTTGAATTCGGTGAAAGGACTAAGGATGTATTCTTCTATACCGATATATTCAGTTTTGAATATTTTTTTGGTCAATTGTAGTCAAAATATTCTTATACTTAAAAAATAATTAATGCTTGATTCAAAATCCAGTAACCTTTAATTATCTGTCAAGAATCAAAAATATTAAATAAAATTGAATGTATTATATATTTGTTTAGAAATTGCTTTTTAGAGGGAGTGACCGGCTTGTAAGGTAGTTGAACTGAGTATGCATTGTTGTGGAAAACTTCTTTTGGATTCATTTGAGACATGTTAAACTTTTTAAAGATCTGTAAATCCTGAGTTTGAGCGCAAATTTGACATTCAAAACTGCTACTTTGGGGGTGGATACGTTATCAGGATTATTTTTATTTGAATTATTAAATAACGACAACGAAAAATAAAGTAAAAATTAAACAGTAATCTAATTAGATGGTTAGGAACATATTTCTCAAAATAAATTTGTCAATAAATCTATGCTAAAATCAATTATTTCTTTTTCATTATAATATTGAATTTCTTATTTTCTTTGAATTTATTTGCAGATTTCTTCAAATTCTTCAAATGTCGTCTTTTCAATAATAATTCTAGAAAATCTGCAAAGAATCTTTGTGAATAATTAGAAACCAGAATAATGAGAAAGTAGAAACTAATAATTGAACAAGATTACTTATTTTCAATGATAAGATATATTTTTAATTTCTCAACATGTTCCTATACATGACATCTGTAGTTTATTGTAGAACTTTTTTACATTTTATGTACGATTGTTATTTAATAATTAAAAAACTAATTCTGAAAAGGTATCAACCCCCCAAAGTAGGAGTTTTGAAGTTCGAACTTGCGCTCAAACTTAGGATTTACAAATCTTTAAAAAGTTTAACATGCCTGAAATGAATCCGAAAGAAGTTTTCCACAACACTGCATAGTCAATTTAACTACCTTACATAGCCGGTCACTCCCTTTAAAAAACTATAGATAAATTTGAATATTAAAAGAATGTATTTTTTGGAAGAAATTAGTAAACAAAAAGTAATACCAATATAAACAAAAAAATTGAATGGAATATGATAAAGTTTTCATGGAGCTTTTACGTGGAATAAGGAAAGAAGTAAATGTCTCTGCAAAACTAAAAAACCTGATGATGTTAGGAGTAACAATGGTGTGATATCTGGAGATTTTAACTGCCAAACCTCAACAACCCCAGCAACAGATGCAGGTGGTACTATAGTAAAACACTTATCCCTGCACTGAGACAAAATTGGGTTTAGGGTATGAACATTTCATCCCTCGCCCCAATCAAAATCCTATTTAAACCCAGGTAGTTAGCAAAACCCAGCCCAAACCCCACAGAATCCTCTACAAGCCAAACAAAAGAATGCTTTAGAAAGTTTTACTTTTATTAAAAATTGTCTTTAAAGGAAACAAAGGAATTGAGTTTTTGCCACAAACTCAGATTTTCTAATTCCTATAACTTAGCAACCCGTTTTCCTAGACCTTTGATATTTCAAACTATTACTTCTGGTAGATCAAATAATCTAAGTTTGAAATATCAGAGGTTAACAGCATCAGGTTGCAAAGATATAGGGGTTAGAAAATATAAGTTTGTTGCAAAAACTCAATCTCTTTGAATCTTTAAACGTGTGGGAAAAGGTTACATCATAGCTTTAAGGTAAAAACCAACTCCCTGCTCATCTAGTAATTTTCTCACAATGAAAGATTGAAAAAATAACCAAATTAATAAGAACAACTTTGAAAACTTTGATTATGGTCCCAGTAATTATATTCTTGCGAATATCTATAAAATTGTTCTCAAAATTTCATTTAAATCTGAATAAATATTTTTAAAATTATCGGGATATAAAAGAAGTAACAGAATTAAGTCATTGCCACAAAATCTTATTTTCTCATTTCTATCTTTGCAACCCAATGCCGTACAGATCTTAAATATATCTAATTATGACTTTAGGTATATCAAACAACCTTAGTTTGAAATACCAAAGGTGAACAGTACACCATAAGGTTGTAATTCCTTTGGAGTATAATCTTAAGAATTTCTGGAAAAAGAATCCCCAAGGAGAAATTTTTAGGATATTTCTGTGGATATGCTCCAATGCTAGCTTGCCAAGGGATTTGTCTGTAAATTCAGAATTTCTGAAGACATATTCTATTGAATTAGTTTCAAAGAATTTCTTGTAACCAATTTCTAAGAATTTCTTGAGAACAATTCTAAAGTATTAATTGTTGAAACCAATTACAGAGAATTTCTAAGACCAATTCTTGAGTATTTTGTCGAGATCAATTACAGATTTGTTCTTGAGACTTTCAGATAGAAACCCCCAATTTTATAATGGGTAAAATGCTAGGATCATTAAAATCATGTGTTTAAAAAGTGTGGTTGGCATTTTTGTAACTCATGGATACCTACAGCCTATGCGGCCTCTCACTTTAACCTAGAATCCCAACTTTTAAGTAATGTGTATCATAATATTATTTTTTTTGCACAATTTTTGCCAGGAAAAGACTCTGGAGTAGAACCAACTACTACACCCCCAGATCCTGGTGCAGGTACCCCTGCTTTTCTTTTTCAGCTAACAAAAGTTGACTTTTGGCTTTCCAACATATATTAGACAAAAAAAACCTAATCTGTATAGGGTTAATATATTTCAAGAATTTCTCAGGACAAACTCCTGGATACTTCAAATAGTTTTGTCTTCGTTCATATCTATACTAATTATTACTGCAGAAAAATATATGATATGATATGAAAATAGCATGTTTTATGTACAGTGCTCGGCCTATATATCAGTACCATAAAGATAACTTTTCTATTTCAGTTTTTATTTCTAAGGTTTTTTTTTAAATAATAAGTTTACAAGTAAAGAAAGAGAAGCTCTTAATTGCCATCTACTCTTTGTTTCCATGTTAATGTGTTTCCATGCTGTTTGAAAGCTTTGTAAGAATCAAAAGCTGTATTAATTGTATTGATAAACAACTGTACATGATTAGATAAAAACGCACCTGTATCCATATCTTCAATTTCACCTACAACCACATCCACAACCACAACAACTTCAACAACGTCCACAACAACAACAACAACAACAGAAAGTGGTAAAACTTTGTTTTATTTGTTGAAGGAATTGTTCATGTATATTACTATTCAAACAACCCTAAATGAATGGCATATCCTATTCACTATTCCTTTGTCTAGACGTGAATGACATTAATATTTGTAGGTTATATCCAAAAATGAAAAGCCAAGAAGCTTGTGTACATTGCTAAGAGTGATGTACAGTGTGTTAGCATTTTTTTTTAAATTGTGAGTTCAATCGCAGACTTACTAGAATCTCCGTAAAAGGGGCGGATTCATTTAGTTAACTTTACTGGTTTGCCTTATAATATCGTCTGTTTAGTGTACTATGCTTATTGTTTGTAGCAGCTTAAAAACCGGCCTGCATGTTGCCTACCATGAACCTGAATCTACTATGGACAGTACAGATTAATTAACAATAACAAAGAGGACACTAGATGTTGTCTTTTCAAGATTTGGGGGTTATCCACAATAACCCTAAATTTAAAAAAGACAACATCTAGTATCCTATTGTCAATTAATCTATCCTATTGTTAATTAATCTATGACTGTATTATTGTGATTCGGATATCATAGTCTCTGAATAAAGAGTCACTTGAAATCTTCATAATGGAAGAAATCAAGTGAAATAACTGTTTTGAGAATTCTTAACATTCAGTCATTCTGGATTCGTCAAAGATCGAGTTAAAGGTTACTTTTGGGAATCATGCATTCTATGAAAGAAGGGTCACTTTAAAGTATGTTTACAGTCTATTTCAGATATAAAAACTCTTTTAGCTGGTTGTATTCCGAAGAAGTGTATTCTTCCAGGGTTTTTAGCAGATGATTCAGCAACAACATCTTCAGGTGAAACTCTTATTCTTTACCTCTTTGCGGATTTAAAACACTAAAAATAACCAGCAATTCCTTCTGCTTCAACTAATGATTTCTCAGATCTAAAAATGGTGATTGGTCTGATACCATGATTAAAGACTCTTTTTGACAAACTTTTAAATCTTGAAAGTTTTCAAATATGAGAATAGCAAATTAATCTGAAGTTACATATTAGAAGTTAAAAAAATGTTTGTTTTTCTCAAAAGTTCTTCAATAAGAGAAGGTTTTTCTCTGATATAATCAAAACTACAGAGGATCTGAAGGTCAAAACGTTATTGTGCGCAATAATAATTTGACTTTTTCCTTCCGTCTAGATCACAGTGTCTTATGTGTTGTTACAAATTATAAAACTTTTCAACACTGCTTTCAATACACCTGCATAGCGGCTGGCATGAGAATGTGCCACTCTCATTTGACTGGTGTTATATATATATAAATTCAAAACAGTGTAGAATATGATGCTGGGGTTTTATTCGAAAACTGTAGTTCAATTTAATGGACACTCGACAATTGCATACCCAGATGTCCCAAATTGGCACTTTTTACCATTTTGCCTTCTATTCTCCTTTAAATCTATGCACACTAGCTTAATACTGTGAACTATGTTGTTGTTTAGGCTTAAATTATAAGTCTGGGCTGAAGAATGCTGAAGAATGTGGTTGTTTTTGCCTTAGGGAATCATTTTTTATTAACCTAGTTAACACTGTGTCTCAAATTATTTAAAGTAAAACACATTGAGATTAAGGCATTAATTTATGCCTAGGGTTTCCATTATCCTGTAAATTTTTAATCTGTAAAGTGGAACTCCGGAATAATTTTGGACAAAATGGAAACCAACAATTTACGCTTAAGATTTTTGTCTATATTACATGGTTTAGAACATATATTTGTTGATTTTATGTACCAGCAAGACAAAATTTTAGGCTTATATTTCCTGAATTTTGAGTATGAAGTTTTAAAAAGGATTAAACCATATCATGATGATCTGTTCCCCCACATAATATGCAATCATTTCATAAATGAGGCACCCTTATTTACATAGGGGGGGATTTGCACCCAGTGCCCCCCCCCCCCTTGTAAGCCCCTGGGTATTGTTGTTTAGTTACAAATTTCCTTCCCTCCCTTGTTTTGTGATTGGTAATAGATTTGTTTTAAAACGATGTTGTAAAAATGATGTCAATGATTCAGTAACCCTACAGTACCATCCACCAGTATATCTTCAGTACCCACCACCTTCATTTGGGTTTCCAGTTTATGTTACTGCAGAACTTCAAGCGGCAATACCCCTCGGCCAGAACCCAGACCAAATTCAAACTTTATATCTGGTATATTTAACTGTACATCGGGAGAAGTAGAAAGGGTAACAAAAAACATAGGTAATTATTAATGTTAAAGTCATAATATGTTTTTAATTATTAATAAATTGATTTTACTGTGATAAAAATTTGGCAACCTCAAAGCATGTTTTCAGAATTCTTTTTTATAGAAATTAAGTCTTAAATTTGACACAAAAAAGAACTTTTGAAAAAAGTACTCTAAATGATAAATGATAAATGATAAAGTTCTATTTTGAAAATAAACAAATAATAATGAATCATGGGATCTTTAATCCTTTAAATAATAATAACAATAATAATTAATAATAATAATCATGCATTTTGATAAATAATTACGTTTTCATCTGTTAATAATGTTGTTCAATTCAATATTAGAATATGATTAGATTGTGGCTCTAAAAGCTATTGCACAAGTAAAGATGTACAATATGATGGTGTTGTGGCTGCAGAAGGTAATACAGAAAACTTCAAAACACTGTGGAATAGGAAGAAAGGAAGACAATATTAAATCAACTATTAAGTGTATATGATGTTATTTCAAGGCACATAGTTTTATTATTAGCTTAAAATTTCTCTCATTAAGGGAAATGGGGGTGTTAACACTACCATGTCTTATGTTAAAGGGAGTGTTCACGAAAAATGAAAGGGATCGTAAACAAATCAATTTAATTCCAAACAAATCATTCAGATATTACAAACAATGTCATCGATTATTTTTCGACACATTCGTAAATAGTTGATATTTCATAATATTTTGCATTTTTGATGATCTGAGAGTTACCTTTGAAAACATTTATTCCTGTTTGAGGATTTTTGATAATGAAGACGACATTTTCATATTTTCCAGGAATGTTCGAAAATCCAGCGCCAGCGAAAATTATTTCTTAAAAAAAATCAGAAATATTATGAAATATTAACTAAATACAAATGCTTCAAAAATAATCGAGGACTACTGTTTGTAATATCTGAATGATTTGTTTGGAATTAAATTTATTTGTTTACGATTTGAGTTGAATGTTGCATCTTTCTGAATTTGTATGGACACAATGTTCTTCGGTATTAGTCGTTTTTGACAATTTTCTCCTTATAGACGCAACAGATAGAAGTAAGATTCGTAGCTTTCAAAAGCGCTTTTTTATCGCGTTAAGCCTATACCCCGATTCATTTTTCTGAAACACTCCCTTTAACTACAATATTAAAAGGCATAACCAGAGTCTAAAGGTTGTTTTCCTATTCCACGGTTTTTTGATTATCACTGTTATCAAAATCAATGATGTATTTCATTTCAACTTCTGATTTGTAATTTCAAGTAACCCTCCATGCTCAATTCTCTGATAAAAATGTAAAAGATGTTGTAGTTTTTCTTGAAAAGTGTTTGATTTTGACAATTCTCTTCGTTGTTCTTTTAACACAATGAGCAATTCACTTTTAAAATTCAAAATTTTTGTAGATTATTTTTGAAAAAATGCTTTTCTTCAGATTTGTGTGTAAATCAAAATTAAACGAGCTACATATGTGTTTAAAAGCACCGCAATTTCGCAAAAATTTTCATTTTCTTATAAATTATTGGTTCCCATTTTAACTTAGGTTTAAAGTTTGTCAGAAACTGGAAGTCTGAGTTTTGTAAAGTCATAGCTGTGTCACTGTGAACCATATTTTAGTTTTAATTTTTGCATTTTCATTTTTTTTAATGACTTTTTTCATGACAGAGTTAAATTTATGTTTCATATGTATTACTTATTCATATTCAATTCACGAAAGCAAACTCTGTAGGCTTAATCATTATGTATTATAGCAATTTTTTTTTAACAATTTATTTTACTAAAGTTGGCGGAGTGAAAAGTTCTACAGCATGTGAATGCTTTTGCACTGGATACAGGGCTATATATTATTAAAATTATAACAAAAGTTAACAAAATATAAGAAATTTTAATCATCTAAGAGTAATAATTTAGAAAACTTGAATTTACAGAAAATACTCCAAAAATTGTATAGTAGGAAGAAAATATCTGTTTTTGTCATTTTAATTGATATTAGATGCAATAAGTTTTTGCTGGGTTTTTTTAATTTTTCTAGTTTGTTTGTAGGATGATAAAGTAACTTTATCACCCCACGGGAAAAATTAGGTATGAAATTCTAAATTTTAATAGCAGGGTAATCTTAGGTGTAATAAATTCCCTTAAAATTGATAAAAACTTTGAAGCAAAGCAATATGCTGTTGGTGAAATATTTTAATTAAAGTTGTTGGTTCTGTATGTTCTGTATATGGAAACAGGACATTTACCAAGAAACAGGATCTGTATCTAAAAACAGGATCTATCTCAAGAAACAGAATTGATGGAAAATGGAGATCCTGTTTATAGGAACAGGATCTGCATCTAAAAACAGGATCTGTATCTAGAAGCAGGATCTTTATATTGAAACAGAAACTTTATCTGTATCTGTATCTAGAAACAAGATCTGTATCTAGAAACATGATCTGTATCTAAAAACAGGATCTGTATCTAGAAACAGGATCTTTACCTAGAAACAGGATCTGTACATGGAAACAGGGCCTATATCTAGAAACAGGATCTGTATCTAGAAGCGGATCTGTATCTAGAAACAGGATCTGTATCTAGAAACAGGATCTGTAACTAGAAACAGGATCTGTATCTAGAAACAGGATATGTATCTAGAAGCAGGATCTGTATCTAAAAACAGGATCTGTATCTAGAAGCAGGATCTTTATCTAGAAACAGGATCTGTATCTAGAAGCAGGATCTGTATCTAGGAACAGGATCTGTATCTAGAAACATAATCTGTAACGGGAAACAGGATCTGTTTCTAGAAACCAGATGTGTATCTAGGAATAGTAGCTCTAACAATTGAAACATGATCTGTATCAAGAAACAGGATAGAATAAGAGAATAGAGAGAACAGCACAAGTGAAGGTATAAAGCAGGTATATATCAAAATCAATAAAAGTATTAAAAAGATTAAATTGCAATGCAAACCTTCAAATCTTGAATTTCAGATATTATATAAAATCGTATTCCTTGTGCACACTGTAAATATTAAAACGTAATAAAAAAATAAGAATTTTTGGAAAAGAATATCACAGAGGTTTTTTTTAATAAATTATCTCTAAATTATGAATATTTTGAAAACGGCGAAAATAAAAATAAAACTACATTTTTTATTATTTCTATAAGAAAAACTGAATGCAGAACAATATTTTTAAAACTGTTAATAATGCAAGTCATTATTATTAAGAAAAAGTGGATACAAATATAACAATTTCAGGATACATATTCAAGCCACCTCTAATTTAGAGAAGACACCACCTAGCGGCCAAATGTGGCAGCTCTCGATATTTAATCCCTCGCCCCCATCAAAATCCTATTCAAACCCAGGTAGTTAGGAGAACCCAGCCCAAACCCAACAGAACCCTCTGCAAGCCAAGCTAAAGAATGCTCCGAAAAATTTCACTTTTATTAAAAATTGACTTTAAAAGAAACAAATTTGAATCTTTAAACATGTGGGAATAGGTTACATTCTCCTCTTAGCTTTACGGTACAAACCAACTCCCTGCTCATTTAGTAATTTTCTCACAATGAAAGATTGAAAAAATAACCAAATTAATAAGAAAAACTTTGAAAACTTTGATTATGGTCCCAGTAATTATATTCTCGCGAATATCTATAAAATTGTTCTCAAAATTTTATTTAAATCTGAATAAATATTTCTAAAATTATCGGGATATAAAAGAAGTAACAGAATTAAAAGTCATTGCCACAAAATCTTATTTTCTCATTTCTATCTTTGCAACCCAATGCCGTACAGATCTTAAATATATCTAATTATGACTTTAGGTATAT